AGATCTTTGGGAGCAAGAGTGTGCGAGATCGAGATCGAGATCGAGATCTGAGAGAGAACTAGAGGGAGCAAGATCGAGATCGAGATATGAGGGAGAACGAGACGGAGCGAGAGCAAGATCTGACCTAAAACAAAATTGTCAATGTTTTTGGGCCGAAGACAGCAACTGAAACTTTCACAATTGATGGACCTAAGTACTTCGTCGAGAAGAAGAAGGAAGGAGAAAAATCCTAACTTTAAGCTGTTTTGGTGGGAGGCAAAGAGGTTTTCAAAATTGCTTATTTGGTATGTTCCGTGATTTGGGGCAGAAATTGATTTTAAAAAAATTCAACTGACAAGGAGATGGAGAGAGAAAGAAGAGATCCGGTAAAATATCCTGGGAAAAAAATAAGAAATTGATGAAAGAAGAGAAAGAAGATGTTTGGTAAAAAATGGGGGAGGGAGACATGAGGAAGAAAGATGGAGAGAGAAGAAGACGAAGAATGGAAATGTGAAATAATAATGGAAGAGATAGAAAAGTGAAAAAAAAGGATAAGTGGAGCAATGTGCAATTTCACACAAAATTGACATAAGCAATGGTGTAGAAAACATAAATTTTTAAAAAGCGGATAAAATTCATTTTTATCTTGCTACAAGGGTCATTCAGCTCAATTTCCCAAGAAAGACAGTGGATTCAATAATTAAAGTATAGACATACTTCATGGAAGCTATTTCTATTCTAAATCTTTGAGATTTAGATGAGTGAGAAATATATTACTTAGAATATTAACAAATAACTCTGAAGTTTCATAATATCCAACTAATGTTTAAAGATATGTATTTGGGGCTCTCATATGCTTATGGTCGGGCCTCAAGACAATGTATTAATTTCTTTAAGTATGTGGTTATGTTTTCTCCCAATGTCCATGAGGCTAGACAATCGTACCTTCAATCTCTTTTAGGAGTTGTTCTTCCTTCTCCAGGAGAAAAAGAAGTGGTTGGAATTTTCTTAAAGACAAAATATGGAAAGTGATGCAGAGTTGGAACCATAAGTGTTTCTCGACAGGAGGTAAGGAAGTCCTAATTAGAAGTATGGTCCAAGCAATTCCCTCTAATGACATGAATGTATTTCGTCTGCTTAAAGGTTCATGTGATGATATTGCCCGTATCTTCACTCACTTCTGGTGGGGCTCTACTAATGATAAAGAAAAGGTGCATTGGATGAGTTGGGAGCGCTTATGTCTTTCTAAGGAGCTTGGTGGTTTGAATTGTCAGGATCTCGAAGATTTCAACAATGCCCTTATAGCTAAGCAAGCTTGGAGGTTCCTTCATAATCCATCGTTGTTGACCTCTAAGGTCTTGAAAGCTATCTATTTGCCTGATTCCACCCTCATTGAAGCAGATGTCGAATCCCGCTCATCTTACTTCTGGAAAAGTCTAATTTGAGGGCGAGATCTTCTTTCTCATGGAATTCGAAAATAAGTGGGTAATGATGAGTCCATAGATGCTTTCAAAGATCCTTGGTTGCTTAGAGAATAGACTTTTAAACCTCTCACCTCAGCCCCTACATCGGAAGTTATCAAGGTTTCTTCCTTAATCGATCCCCTTGACACTTGGAATTTTAAAAGGCGGTCCAATCCTTTTTGCCAGGATGATATCGACTGGATTCTAAAGATCCCTCTAAGAGCACTACTAACCTACCCGATTCCTGGCTATGGCATTATGACAAGAAGGGATTTTTTTAGTGTTAAGAGTGCTTAAGCTCTATATGCATCTTATGGTCACTATAGATACCAATGGTTCAACTAGCAGAAGCAATTTTTGGCAAAGCATATGGAAACTAAACATTCCACCAAAAATTCGAACATTCATTTGTAGATCAGTACATAATTTCATTCCAGTAATGTTAAACTTGAGTAAGAGGGGGTTAGATATGTCTCACCTTTCTATCCATGCTATCGTTCCCAAGAGGAATCCACTACCCATGCTCTTTTGGTTGTCCTCGAGCACAACAAATCTGACGCTTGGTTCTTCCCTTTGCCACTATCCCTCATAATCGAAACGCCTCATTCCATTACCTTTGGGATAATTGGCAGTTTATTCTTAGTAGCTCTGAAATTGAAATTGCAGCAATCACTTGTTCGGCCATTTGAAAAGATATAAATCACGTTAATAATCAGAATCCCATCTCGAATGTTCAAGATAAAAGCGGCTCGATTACCTCTTATTGGGATTCTATCCGCAAAGCCAACGATCTTCCCAAGCGGCTAGTCAGTCGGCGGGAACTGGAAACCCCTTGGATCCGTCGGAGTAGTGGTCTCAAACTCAATACTGATGGTGGCTATGTGATATGATCATAATTGGCCTCAAGTCTTTGGAACGGATTCAAGCAAAAAGGAGAGCATCACCGCATGCTCAAAGCAATCAAGGGCATAAAAGCCTCGCATGGAGACGCCCTCCGTGCACGCGCATTCGTGCCTATGCACGCCCAACC